CCCCCCCCAACACACACACACACAAAAAAAAAAAAAAAGAAGGAGGAAGGTTCTTGCATCCCAGGGTAAGTGAGATGCTGTCTGGTGGTGCCACGCTGTGTCCCGCCATCTCCACTTTTGGGCGACCATCAGGCAGTCCAGAACACTATGTTCCAGCGCGACCCTTTTCTTAGGGGGGTGATGACCAATCGCGGTAGGCAGATAAGGGCGAAGCTAATCCCTTCTGTTTCTGGTCAAGAGTATTGATTGGGAGGAGGCGCGAAGAGGGCTTTCTTTATCAAGAAGCGGTCTGGCTTTGTCATTCATTCTTTCATTCAAGTCCGTTTGCTCGTGTATTTTGGTCTTCAATGAGCTCTCAGCTCTTGCATCTCTCAAACGTTTTGTGTTCTCACATGCTGGTTCCTTGCACATATATATGAGCTGCTCGAAGTTCCCACAAGTCTTGAAGTTGCTTCCACCGGGCCTCATCAGGGGTTGAAGGCGGTCAAAGCCGCAGGTGGATCTTGAAGTTATAGTTTTTCGATTTCGAAGTTATAGTTTGGATCTAGAAGTTAGTTTGGTCACTGCCTCAGATGTTTAACTGCTAAGTCCCTACTCACACTAGCTCCATACTGAGTCCATAGTAAATGCATCTGACCCCATCCACAGCCAGACGTGGATGTACCTGGCTGCAATTACGTCAAAACACAAGTGAAAAAGTCCTGGTCTGAGTACAATTACGTCGAAAAATAAGTGAAAAAGTCCTCGTCTGAGTATGCCCCAAGTCCCACAAAGCTTTTGAAGTTCCTTCCACAGACCCGCAGACGTTGAAGCTGCACACAGGTGCAGGCAGATCTTGGAGTTGTTTTATCACTGCGTCAGATGTTGGAAGCAAAGCACAGGTTAGAGTTGTTTTCTCACTGCGTCAGATGTTGAAATTGCTTCCTCATGGTTGCAGATAGCTAGAAGGAAGTTGCATTACATGATCATAGATGCTGCGGGTCGAGGCGGTGGTTGATCGAAGCCATTAGGTCTCAAATTTGATTGCGATGTTATAGTCGAATTGACGAGGCCCAGGCAATTCAACAATATTTAATTTCAATCGTTTACGATTTGAACTGAGGTCTGTATATCAACAATTTGCGGGTGTACCAACCGAGGCCTTTTCGAAGAAGTGATACAAGCGCCCTCCGGCAAATGATACAAGCACCCTCCACGAATGGGATCCGAGTGGGAGATGACTTCAAGGAAAAGTTTCATTTTCTGATATCGGGAAGTATGCAATAACCCATGTAGTATGCCTCGTGGAATGTCTAAGGGCCTCGCCAGGCCACACTCAGATCCAGGCTGGAGGGGAAAAAAGACCCTAAGTAGATTCAGGGCCTGAGCGAGGGACAGTTGACCAAAGTCAACTGCCTGACGCCCAATAGTAAGTCAAAGTGGACCCAGCCCAGGCTGCCGGTCAGATGCACACACTTGTTTGTATGCACGCACCAAGACAGTATCTGGACCAAGTGAAAGTCTGCTGTACACAATCCAGGCCCTCGGCTGTGAATCAATCTGGACGACTGTGGTTAGGAGACCTGAGGCCAGACTGCATCGTTAAACACTACATAAGGCTTGGTCTCCAGGAAGTTAACATTCAGTCTTGCTATGGGCCTTGACGCTGGCTTGACGCTGGCTGTGCGCTGGCACTGTGGACGGCGACGCGGGACCAAGGCGACACGCTGGCGCTGCCATTACTGAGCGCCAGCCATTGCTGATGTGGTGCATGCCACCTGTCTACATTGCTGATGTAGCGTATGCCACTTGTCTTCATTGCTGATGTGGTGCATGCCACCTATCTCCATTGCTGAGGTGGCATTGGCCATGCTGTTTACATGAGGTGACTGGTTGCGATAAGGAGGGAGATCAAGATATGTGGACGATTGAAGAATGGGGGTACTCACCTGAGGTCGACGTCGACATTGTGCGCCGCTGATTGTCTTCATTGTCTCCATGGGAGAATAGTGTCGCGTGACACTCTTATGTGATCAGGACTGGCTAGGCTCGTTACTGGATACGGCTTAATGGTGTGGAGGTGAGGGGAAGCCCGGAGAAGGAGTGGGTAATGACGGGCTACTTTTTTCATGATCATTAATTATCTCTTCCACCCTCTCCTTTGTCTATTTCCCCTCCACTCTCTTCGTCTATTGGTAACGAAGCATTGTATCAGAGATCATGTTCATGATTACTAGAGACATTGACCAGATCCAAGTTGTCTTGTACTTTGATGTTTGACAATGATCTTCCAGTCTGGGTTCATTGCAATTTGTTATCGGAGCATACCTCCTTCATCACGATCTGCTATTAGGTGCTGACGTAGCACCCAGGTAAGTGGGAGATGCCGCACGTGCAGGGACGAACCACGTTCATAAATGCTCGAGGTTAATATCGCACGTCTAGACATTGAGTACCGCATGTACGTGCAGCCTCCTTTGAAGGTGATGACCTGAACACTCTGAAGAAGAAAACGGCGGTATTGCTTATGTGGTGCATTGTTGCTGACGTGTCATTGGGATACTGGGGAGAGCATCGTTGGCGACAGGATGACATGGCGCTGGTAAAGAGAGAGAGAGTGTGAATATTGGGACCGTTGACGTGGCGCGCTGCCTACGCGGCATGACATAGGGGTGTTGATGTAACATCCTACTATTGGCAAGGCTTCATCTTACGTGGCACGTACCTGTGTCGCGATTACTTGCTGACGAAGCGCTCCACACTTTGAGTTGGCGTGGCATACCAGTGTTGGATGTGTTTGCAGACCGTGCATTGCTGACGTGGCATCCCCTTGTAGACCTTTTAGGTCATTGACGCTGAGGTGGCAGACTTGGTAGAGCTACTGTGTTGGCATTCCAAAGGTGATACATGGCATGTATGGCACGCTGTTGTGGGTGAGGTATTGGTCTTGCCTTTGTGCGCTGGCAGATGGTACGGCTTCACGATTTGTTGTAGTGTCACATGCCGACCCTTGTGTTTGGTTGCATTGGCTTTGCAGATGGTACAGCCATAGAGGAAGGAAGGCTGGCAATTGATTGTTGTTGATTGTGTTGGGTGACCTACTCACTTGTTTTTGTTCTGTGGTTGTTGTGCATACTCACCTGTGTGTTGTTGTCTAATCACACTGGTCGTGGTTGCGGTACATGTACACATTCTGTAGGACGTCATCACACATAGAACAAAACACAAAGTTAGAATTACAAATAAATTGAGAATCTGTTTGTTTTTATTTGCCTTTGATTATTTCTTGCTGTATGAAATTGCGTGTGGCCGTGAAATTTATTTATGTCTGTGAATTTCTTTATTGTGCGACATTCACACGCTGGGAAATATGACCTATCTATGGAAATGTTTGCATGCCTCCATTTTTACGCGGTATATACCTCTCTTCTTCTTTTCTATCCCTCTCACAGTCTATGCTGATGCAGAAGGGGGGAATCTGAGAACTCGTGGTCAGATTGATGCGAGAAGGCAGACCTTGTTAGGTATTCTTTGCCAATTACTCGGCGAAATACACAGTGTCAGACCAGAAGCTGAACGGTTGGTGCACGAACAGTTCAATCTGCGCGTT